ATAAAAAGCCTATTATCTTTTTCTTTTAAGTCCTATGCCTTTAGGGTCTTGTGCGCTGTCGCCTTATGTTTAGGGCGTGGCGTTTCCTTGGGAGCTCCCTGCGTAACGGCTTCCGCATAGCTCCGGGGTTGGCATGTTGGTTTAGGGGTTTCCTCTATGTTGCCTGTTAGGTGTCGCTTAATGGTGTTGAGAAGGTCCTTAGTTAGCGCCTGGGCAAGTTCTGCTTGGTGGCCGGTAGGGAAACGGGCTAGTTGCTGGTCTAGGGTTTTGGCGAAAGCTTTAAGGACTTCGTCCCTTGCTTTTATCTTAAGCTTCTCTTCCTGGATGAGGGTTCGAAGTAATGAGGATAGGGGCCCGTTGTCTTAATCAAGGTCCTAAGCGAGTAGGAGGGGGGCAGTCTTGATTTGCTTTATCTTAGCGGTGTGCCGTCTAATATTACCATTAGCTGCGGTGTTCGTCTCTGGGGTTGTCGGGCTCCTAAGAATAGAGGTTAGCGGGGTGTTTAGGGTCGTAGCCTCCGCCAGCGACGGGTTTAATAGATCTAGTACCATCGGGGGACCCAAAGAGGGCGTTTTAGGGGAGGAGATAGTAGTTTTAGGTAGGATTCTTAGCGTATTTGCTTAGAGTACACCTGGCCGGACGGAGAGGTGTAGGGTTTACCTTGAAGGACAAGAAGTATAGGAAGTTGGGAGACAAGTCACGTAAAGGATCGGGTGTAGGCGTGTTACCATCAACCTTATAGTAGAGATTAATACTTTGAGTTAACCACCAAGGTCCTATCTACTACTTAGAGAGCGTGGTCTAAATACATGTAGGAGATGCTAACAATCTAGATCCTGTCTTAGGATCATAGTGTTGGATTAGGTAGATGGATTAGTCCTGATCTATTGGCCTGTGCGTAGGATCGTCTCTAGTCATATAATCCTTATGCCACTTTTCCAACGGCTAACTTTCTATAACTCGATAACCTTCTTCCTTGTCGCAGAGCGGACGCGATAGTTATCTTTACGATCGTCCGCTATTACTTCCTTGGTGTCGGTTTGTATCTTCTGCCCCTGCGGACCTTAATTCCTTGTGGTCCTGGTTCCCGTGTGGGCTTTCTGGGTTTGTGGTCTTAGTTTCCTTACGGCCTTGTCTGGCACGTGTCTGTTGGTGCCTTGCGGGACGCGGGCCCTTGTGGTTACTAAGCCCTTGTGGTCTCCAGGCCCGTGTGGGCCTTTTACCCATAAGGTCTTTCTGACCCTGCAGGTTGATTTCCCTTGAGGTCTATAACATCAACTCAACTCAATCATAGAGACGTAGTTCTTAAAGGTAAGATAGGGATCGAAGAATATTCCTAGCCACCGGACGAGATTCTTTAGCTCTATTACTATCCTACTAGGGAGGGGGGAGGGTAGTAGATTTAGCTAAAATAGGTAGTAGATTTATCCGGTGCCGGAGCGCTAATAGTGGCGTTCCCTTAGGTGTAAAAAAGTTAGACTCTGTTGAATATATTAGAGGGCTGAATACATTTAACTATATATCTTAGAGACTGCCGAGTGCCGGATATAATGTTTTCCTAAGTCTCCGAGACACTGGGATCTACCCCCACCTTCAACTAAGATAGTTAGCGATCAGCGTCTTTCGGCATTCTTTCCGTTCCACCTTTCTACCCTAGTAGCCTGTGTATCGCGAGAACTTCCGCCGACAGCCGCAGCGGTAGCTTGGCTTCGAATAATTTGCGAGACAAATCAAGCTTTACCTCGAAAGCTCACGAGCACGGGTTCGTGTTATCGAGTTTATGTTTCCATGGCGGTTTTTGATCTTTACGGGCCTACGGAGTGATAGTGGGTATTTTTCACCTTCTCTTTCTAATACCCAGCGGCTGCAGTAGTAAGTGTGCTTACGAACCCGAATCCGCTGCAGGTCATGCATAATATATGACGGAGCGTGCATAACCCCGCATGGAGTTTTCCGTCAAATAATCATAGAAATCCTATGTCTGTAAGCTTCCTTCTGCGACGTTTATCTTGCTGCTCCTGCAACTCCCGTCGTATACTTAGTCCTCTCCGAAATGTTTGCAAAGATTCTATCCTTTATACTTTTCTTTTCCTTTGTCTCTGCGGGCGAGTTATCCCTGCATTTCTCACTTTAAGTGGCGCTTGCTGACCTAGGCTTTGTAGCATGCTCTGGAAACACAACGCTTTATGCCGCATCTGAGACCAGCGCCTTGGCTACTTGTACGACTTACTCCGGTAACGTCTCATTTGCCACCAGCGTCGCGGGAGATGTCAACCTCGATAATATCGAAGTTATAACGGGCAACTTGAACATAACAGGCGCCTCAAATATAACCTCACTTACTGGCAATCACCTATCATCTCTTGGTGGTTTTATTCTTCGAAACCTATCAAGTAGTGCGCCTATGGAGTTCGTTCGCCTTACTAATTTGACAAATTTAATATTCTACGGATTTCAAGCGCTCTCGGGTTTTAGTCTCTCTACAGATCTTACTTGGATTTCCGATGTTGTTATCGAAGGCTCGCGGCTTACCGATATCGATGGACTTGGACTACAAAATGTCAATACCATAGGCAGCTTAAGTATACTAAGAAACCAGTACCTGGAGAACGTAAGCTTGCCAAACCTCCGTACCACTTTTTCTTCCATAGACATATACGGAAAGGGGTTTCTCAATTTGTCTTTACCCTTGCTATCAAGAGCTGGGCCGCTTGATTTACGTCACATCGCATATCTCTACATACCTACTTTGGAAGCTTTAGATGGAGGCCTTTCCTTATATGATACGAAACTGGATACAATATCCGCGCCAAAACTCGGATCTATTGACTCCCTCGCTCTGGAGAACAACACACGTCTTTACAACATGTCATTTCCTAGCCTTTACGGAATATATGGCTATATGATTATGTTTAACAACTCGGACTTGTCTACAATTTCGCTCGAGGCGCTAGAGTGGATAACGTACAATACTATATTACTTGGTAACTTTACAAGGTCAGCATCCCAAATGTCACGTAAACTAGTAAAGCTATTAGATTTGTTGACAAGATCTTAGCATATCCTTCCCCGCTATGACGGAATTAGAAGGAGCGCTTGATATATCAACAAGCGAGGATATGGATTGCTCTCCCTTTGAGCATATGGTCAAATCTGGAATCGTCAAAGAAAGACTGCAATGCAATACCTCGGAGAAAGCCATTAGTGTGTTACCACCGGGCCAGACGCAAACTTCCATATCAAACCAATCGGCCCCTACATCAGGTGGGACTTCAGAAGGCCTATCTACAGGCGCAAAGATTGGAATCGGTGTAGGTGTCGCGGGAGGTGCTATCGGAGCCATTGCTATCTCCGCATCTCTTCTTCTAATCCGGCGGAATCGAAAAAAGAACCAGGCGGTAAACGAGAGCACGAAGGACGAGAAAGAACAGAAGGATCCGCGAGTGCCAGCCCAGCCAGTACACGAGCTTGAACCAGAAAACATACAGGAGTTGGAGCACAATCGCATCGCCAATGAGATGGGTGCAGATAGAGAGGTCCTAGAGGCTCAGGGGAGCGAAGCCCTCTACGAATTGCCGGTGGGCGGTCCGAGGGAGCGGCAGGAATTGGAGGGGGATACGCCCAGACTGCATTCACCTGTGCGTGAAAGAGACAGCACCAGTCAGCGGGATGTGTAGTGGTTATCGATGAGGTTGAAGTGGGATTTGGGCAAGGCAGCAAAAGCTCGCAGCTTCACTGTCACAGTTCGACGTCCGTCCACGAGCCAATGTGAACCAGCGTCTTGTGAATTTGGAGAATAACGTTCATTGTCTTTTCATTCTTTTCATTCTTTGAAACAAACTCAGGAAACATAAATCATAGTTTATATTTGTAAAGGAAACATAATCATAGTTGAGATTTGCGAAGTAAACATAATCATAACTGGGATTTGCAAAGGTAAACAAACTACTTAATGCTATCTGCAACATTAACCAACTTCCAGCTATTATTCCGATCAGGTCTCAGCTGCACCTTGACACGATCCGCCGTATCATACATATCCCCGCGCTTCGACAAGCTCGCGAACCTCTCGCTAGACTCCCTGTCCAGGCCATGGAACAGCAAAGCGACAATCGACGACTTCCAGTAGCCCAACTGCTGCAGCATCCTCGTGCGCAGCATTGTGAAAGCGAGAAACAACACCGTGAGGCAGAACAGCGCAGCAGGAAGGCTGATCCACGCCCAGCGGACGCGGATGCAGGTTTGCGACGCCATTGCTTTTCCTTGCACCCATTGCGCCCTGGGTGTGTCGCCATGCATGCGCATCTGGGCCGTCATTTCCGTCGCGAGGCCTTCCATGAACGCGTTCACGCTGCTCAGGTTGGCCTTTCCATCCTGATACATCCGTTTGAGCCAGACGGGGCCTTCGGTGTAGTTTGCCGAGCCGTACATGCTGCTCAAGGACTCGCCGTCGAAGAGGTCGAGGAGGAAGTCGTTCACCGCGAGTATGAAGCCGTGGCCGACCATCCAGACGCATTCGGGAGGGTACCATTGGATGTCGGCGTCGGTGATTTTCGATCCATTGAAGGTTGCGTAACTCTGCAGTGTTCGGGCATTCACATCCACGGCGACATTGTTTGATTCGGTAGGAGCGGAGGATGCATTGCACGATCGCCAGACACCATCGCGCAGGATAGAGTCCGTGGCGAGCGAGAAATTCCAGGCGTTGTTTTTGCCGATGCCGAATCCGAGCGGAGTGGACGAGATGACCTTTTCTTGATAAACGGACTTGCTCACGTTGGCTGAATATGTGTTCAGGCAAGGTTTAATGGAGCATTGGACCGCCCATGGCTTCAGGCAGTCAGTTACTTTTTTCTTGCAGTTCGCTTCCTCTTGGTACATGATGTTTTCGATTTTGAACAGCGAGGAAGGGAAGTCCTGCTCTGCCGTGGTTGACGAAAAATTGGTGTAGGCAAGACGGCCACCAGAAGGCAGGGAGTAGTTTATATAAGTCTTGGTGTCGTTGCGGATTTCCGATGATATGTCGCTGCACGAGTGGCACATTGCGAGAGAGGAAAATGCCGCGTCGCCGTCCGCTGGAAATGTGCAGTTTCCCGTTGAGCAGTCCACGGTAATGGCGGAGGAAATGCTGTGCGAAGGATTGAGAATGCCTGTGTAAATTGCAACGGTCATTGCTGTGTCGAGGGTTTGTGAGAGCGGACCGGTATGGAATCCGTTCGCCGTGTAGTTGTTTGTCATTGGGATGCGGGCAAGCTCGTTAGGCACGGGTTGAAGGCAATCGTAGTAGTGAATGATCTGCTGGGAGAAGAAGTCGGTGGCCAGAGCAACCACTATGATTAGAGCACCAAAGCTTGCAAGATAGCTGCAGAAGTATTGTCAGATACTCCAGCTAAAAACCGAGGAAGGCTAGCTTACTGTTGGTGTAGATGGAAGAGCAGGCGCAAAGAACCCCAAGGCCCTCTACTAGCGATATCAAATCTTTCCATGTCTGCTAGCCTGCGTGGTTTGCTAAACCAATGCCATTTCAACTGGCTTATTCCTGATTTACGTTTAGCACTGCTTATTTCCTGCATGAAGTTAAGATTTACTTACCTTCAGATACCGGCATCACCAGCGCGGCTTTGAATATCGCAGTGAAAATAGCTATCAGCGAGTTGATAGAGATTGGACGTGGCCATTGCGGCAGTGGATGATCATTGTATGTTGCCGATACCGCTATGATGGCAGCAAGCGCTGAAGCAGCAATGGTACAGCTTATAGTTTCTACTATCCAGAATTTGTTCCAGCTGGTTTCATCGGACGCTTTTTGGACGGGATCGGCCTCTTCGCTGGTCGTTTCGTAAAGGCCAACAGGTACTTCTTTTGTGACGTGATCGTTCGGCTGGTCAAAGACTGCAAGATGCTCGTCGCTCGTATCTATGGCGGAAACTTGGTCACTGGGTGGTCGCAACCAAGTTTCATCGTGATTGCTTGATTCTTGGGGGACTCTTCGGTAGTCACGCGGTTGGATGGGAGATACAGGTGTGTTGTCCATGGCAATGGCAAGATGTGTCGTGACGGAGCGGAGTCGGCGCGCAAAATTTACAGCAGACGGACCTTTATTTGCAGAATAGACGCGCAGGGATGATCTATGAATAGACGCAGCAAGCTGTGCAGCCCGATGAAAGAAAGGGACGGTGAGGCGCCGTAGCACGTGTACACAGGTATGTAGACATGAAACGCGCTTATAGCCAAACTTTTCACCAAGGCGGTTTAGGCGTATCTTGGTCCAAGAAGACCTGAGTCATGATGAAATGTTTCCTGGCAGCCTGAAATCTTCTGCGTCTTTGGTGTTTCAGCAGACGACCAATGGAACGATGTTATCGGGCAGAGTTGCTTGCTACTGTCGGAGCTGAATTGTCAGCAGGAACATGTCTCGGCGACGTGACCGGATTTGATCGACGGGCCCAGGTGCGATCGACGGCATTGGATATAAAGTCCCGGCCCCCACGCCCCACGCTGCGCGGTGATGGAGCTAAAATCTGACTGTTGCTACACTGTACTCGTAGATACTGGAGGCGCCGGGCGTTCCGCCACCCCGCGCGGCCCGCAGGCGGAAGGATGGGGAGATATTAGGCACATATGTAAGTAAGAGAAGAGGGAGGAGGCCCACCACCACCACCAGCAGTACAACATGGACTCGGCCGTGGCGGACAGCGTGAGCAGCGACGCAGTGCGGCTGGGGACTTGGACCAACTGGTCGCGCGGGCGGGTCCGAGGCGCGACGCTCACGCTGCACGAACGCGACGGCGGGCTGCTCATCGCCTTTCTCGCCCTCTTCGTCGCAGCGGCGGGCGACAGTGCGTGGCGCGTCTTTTGCTTCGCGCTGCATCGGGTGCTGTCGCGGGCACAGCAGCAGGACGGGCTCTACCACCAGCGCCAGGCCATCCTGCGCAACGCAGCCAGTGGGACGGCGGGCGTGCTGAGCCTGGTTCGAGCGGCGTGGGCGTGGCGCCGCAACGCCTCCAAGCCATTTGTGCGCATCCTCCCGCTGGCCTCTGTTGGTCTCATCATCGCTCTGGGCTTCAGTACCGCCAGTATCTTTGCGTCGCGCGTCTCGACCGTTGCCGGCCATGAGGTTCTTCTCAAGGGCGACAGCTGCGGCCGCGTCACGACCATCAACCGCACAAGCAGCGACATGACGGAGCTGCTGACGGGCATGCTGCCATATACCATCGAGCTGCTCGTATCGTCCAGCAGCTATGCCCGCCGCTGCTATCGTAACAATTCCAAGCCCGACGACTGTCCCACCTTTGCCGCCCGCATGTTGCCCACGACCATCTACCCCGATGCCGAATGCCCCTTCCAAGTCAAAGACATCTGCCAAAGCGACTCCAAGAACCTACTCCTCGACTCGGGCCACATCAACAGCCACACCCACCTGGGCATCAACGCCCCGCCCCAGCACCGCTTCACCTTCCGCCAGCTCACTGCCTGCGCTCCCCTCAAGACCGACGCCTACTCGCTCCTGCGCAACGACTCGGACAATGTCTTCGGTGCTCCCTACACCGAATACTACTACGGCCCTCCCACGACCAACCAAACCAACTACACCTACGCCTTTCCTCTCAAAACCCCCGCCTCCTCGACGAACCCAAACGACTACACTCTCGCGTGAGCAGTGTCCCGAGTGTCTTCTGTATTGCGCGCTGACCTGTCGTAGCCACCTGGCCGCCTACGCCAATGGCGAGGGAGCCGCAGCCTTCGAGCCGATAGCCGATCTGCACGTTCCCGACGCCGACGTGTCGCTGTACTTTCTCTCGGCCAACGACGTCAACTACATCCAGCCAGTCGACGATCCGTGGTTTGCCGCGCACCAGCTCACCAGCCATCAAGAAGACACCGTCGTCGGCAGCGACACGCCCGTGTGGCGCCGCGATGAGCCTGCAACCGTGCTCGCGTGCACGCAGCAGTACCAGTACTGCAACCCCAACCTGCCCGAGTCCGAGGGCTGCACCCCGCTCGCGGGCATCGACGGCTGGAGAAACTCCGCTTCCCCCGATGCAATCCCCATGAGAAACGCGGCGGGCGAGGACATTTGGCGAACCTCGCTGCAGCGAGCCGCTCTGCGCTACGTCGTCGACAAAGCCATCTACACCACCATCGCCGACGTCGTGGGCAGCCTCAACTCGGGCGCTTTGTTGTCCCGCAACTCGATGTGGTTGGGGATTCAGGGCCCGATGGGGGAGCGGCAATGGCAAAGCGAGGTGGAGCATTGGCATAGATCGTCACTTGCCGTGCTGCAGCGCCTCATGATTGAGCAGGCGACGGGCGGAAAGCTCAGCGATGCCGACATTTCACCCTGGATGACCGGGCCGGACGGGACGGCTGAGTGGAAGCGATGCAAAGGGCAGGTACGTTTTTATTTTATTTTATTTTTTATTTTGTACACTACCTACCGTCCAAGCACTTTCCTCACACCGCCATCTTAAAGCTAGTTCGAAGTACACAATTCGCCTCCTTCAGCATCCTGGGCCTAATCATCATCTTCGTCATTGGCGGCTTCTTCGTCATATTATCCTACCTGCTCGACCCTCTGGTAGTGCTTCTCCTACGGCGCCAACAAGGCCAGCGGAAACCGCAAGCATCCTCATCTGCCGACAGCCCAAGCACCACCGACAGTTCCAGCGACGACAACTTCATTGACGAAACCATTTACAAAAACCTCGAGTGGCTCTCAAACGAGACGTTGCAGCTTCAGCGGCTGGCGCACGAGCAGCTTGGCGCAGGCACCTGGTCAGGCGCCACGGGCGGGAACCTCGTCCCCGTCACCGAGCATGGGCAGCTTCTCGCCAGGCTCGACGCCTCGAACAGCAGGCACCCGCGGCTTATGGTGCCGTTTGCGCGAGATTCGGGGGTGCGCGCGTCGGGCGTTGAGCCGGTCGATTACGAGTCAGTGACCGTGAGCCCGCATGCGGAGCGCAAGTGGTGGTGGTTTGGGCTTGGGCTGGACCATAGAGGGCACAGGGACGCCATGGCGCAGCAGTACCGTCCGCAACGGCGAAAAGACAAGGACAAGCGCGGGCTGCGGCGGTGGCTGGCGGGGTCGCCGAAGCTGGCGCGTAGGTCGGCGCGGCACCATGCGAGGGCGAGCACGGCGTCGATTTCGCCGGTGACTCCGGACGGGGACATAGAGCTGGGCATGAAGATGGCGCTGCCAATGGAGCATGAGAGGGGAGCGAGGGATGACTCGATACGCGCTTTGCTTTGATTGGTGTAAGTGTCGGAGGATGTGTTGGGAGTCTACTATAGTCTACGTGGGGTTTGGGCATAGAGGCTGTTTTATCTGAATAAAACTTAAGTGGTATATTGTGCTATGGCAGAAGTATTTCTTGTTCAACACTTCTCTCGTAATGCCACGTCTCTACTTGATGTTCGGCAAGCCCTTTATTATTTGTATGATTGTTTATTGGATGAAAAAGTAAGCTTTGGTAGATCAGAAAATGAATCATCAGTATGGAGGAAAGAAGATGACAACGTAGCTATATTTGTATTTGTTGCAATGGTACAGAACTACTATACCCAGATCTACGTAGAGTTCAAAAGAATAAACAGATAAAGCTAAA